GATTTTGGGAAAATATTTTATTTACTTCGCAAATATGCTAGTAGTGTGTTTTGGTATTTGTTAATTTATAGCTAGTAAGACGAACTCAAAAATTAAATAACCAATATTGTGTCATTACTGACTCTAATTTTACAAAAAAAAAACTATAAGCACGTAAAATATTTGTTTGTAGGCATCGTTCCACACCACTGAATTACCCAAAACTACCCCAAAATACTCACCTATCCCCCTCACATGGGGTACGTACCCTAAAACAAGTACGCTAATCTCCAAAATAACTTGTCGACAAAACCACCCAGCGACTAAGTTTCAATTAAGAGACCTCCCCCTTTCTCGCCCCCAATTCGTCCTGAGCTTCTAAGCCTACGATTTTGTAAACGCTGTTGTACATACCACCAGTTTTCTTAGAACTCTCTGTTCTTCAGTCGAGTAATTTTCAATAAAATTTGACGAAGACAACTTCATTAGTCTGAAGGTACTGAGGTCAACATTAATTGGCGGTGTAGGATACACCCTGAAGTAAATAAGATTACTGGATTAATCCACAATCGCCTTAAAATAGGTTAGCGCTTATGAAACGCTATGCTTATCCGTGATATTAGATATTGTTAACAAATATCTTATAACACATACTTGAAACTATAATACAATCTGGTTGAAAGTCAGCCGTGCTCGTTTTAACTCTTTGAAAGGCCTAGAGTCTTCAGGATCACGTACCCGGGTACGTGATCTTAGCCGGCTAATAGCGTATCTCCCTTTACATTCAAAATTGAAATTACGGTCCATATCATAAGTGATAAGGCGATACAAAATTGAAGGTGTAAAGCCCAATGTGCGTGTTGTTGTACATCGGGTATCTACGAGCTCCAATTGCAATTACCATGTCAGAGTAAATCACGATTAATATTGAGAAGGTAATTAGCTGAATTATAATTACCATCTACACTTCTATATTTAATAATTTCAAACGATTGCAGTGTAATAATAACATCATCATTATTTCAGCCGAAAGACGTCCACTGCTGAACATAGGTCTCCCCCAAAGATCATCACAAGGGCCGGTCTTGTGCTGTTGCATCCAGTGGACTCCCGCAACTTTCACCTGGTCATCGGTTCACGTAGTGGATGGTCCGCGTACGCTACGTCTTCCGGTATGCGGTTGCTACTCGAGAACTCTTTGGCCCCATCGGCTATCTCGATACCTTCATTGAACACTACGCTAACTTCAAATTTGGACCTGATCTGTTTTTATTTTATCTTTTTGTTTCTTTTTTTTTCACGGAAACCGTTGTTTTAGTTTTCGTTTTCGAATTTTTGTTTTTTGTTTCTTTTTTTTCATAAAATTCGTTTGGTTGTTTTTGTTTCTTTATTTTTTTTCACAAAACTCAGGGAGCATAATATTAGTAAACAAATACGGCTATTTATAAAAATAACTGGAGGTATCGATCTGTTCTGCAAGCAATGTATTATTTTTTGAATTCTTTTTGCTGTATCGGTTACTCTGGTTCTTTTACGGATATACTCACTTCTGATTCAATCTCGCAATGAAACTCCGAACATAGCCGGGTAATTTTCAGGTTAGTTTTCTTTACCTCATTCTCGGTGGCAATTTTTATTATTTAAATATTCAACAATATAATCGTGAAATATAAATAACATTTCAAGTTACTACACTCGCATATTAAATAACACTTTATGATAATATTTCAGAATATTCAAATAATGGAAATTGCCACAGAAATTACGTACATAAAACTAACCTGGAAATTACCCAGCCCTCTCTATTGCCCGTGTATTATTACAAAAATCGAATTTCTGAAAAGAAAAATCAGGAACATTTGAAAATGTTGAAGGATAAATGGACATCACTATCTTTCAGGTCACACTGCAGCGTGAAGTTTATTATTGAAGAAGGCTTATAGAGGCTTCGGGGACTAGATTTTTCGAAAATTCACTCGGCGAGCACCAGATTAGAGACTGTTGTGAACCCTGTAAATGCTAGATTGGATGTAGTGACGTAGGTTATGGTGAGAGCAGAAGTTGAAACGACAAAACAGGCAGCGATTTCAATTTCTTTTTATGGTGGTCCTATAGCGTCAACGTTAGTGACATGAACATCATTGTGATTAAAGTCATAGCATTGGTCATTTTGAATTTCGAACTGCATGCCACGTAATATTAAAGTCATGTCATTGGTCAAATTGAATTTCGTATTGCAATATATATGTTAGTTTGTAGCAAAATCGTTCTTAAAAATGCCAATCGCGTACGTTAAGATGCTGTTTAATATTGGCGGTGGACTGGCATTTAATTTTTTTTTTACAAAATTAATTGCAAATACGACAGATTTTAGGGAGTTTAAGCTTTGTGTCTATTTAAATAATTGTATAATTTAACGATTTAATTTTAATTTAAGATCCTATTTTACTTAAAATGAATTCATCCGTAAATAATTGACCGTTTTAGATTTTAAAAGTACAGGATTTTTTTTAAATCTTTAAAAAGACAATTTTAAAAAATCTTTCGAAGCAGCATTACTTACGCACTCATCTAATGCACACACACATTACATGCACTCTCACATGTTTTTATTTTGTTATCTTTTCTTTTCTCTTTTCATTTTTATTATATAATTTGTTTCTATAGTCTTATTGATTTATTGATCAGAAATTCGGGAGGCGGAGGCCTTGTGACCTAAAAACAGGGTATCATAGTTTAGGTTCCAGCCTCTATAAATTTTCCAATCTTAGAATAATAACGCATAGAATGATAGTTTCATATCAAACGAACTGTCATCAGTGAGGCAAAAATCAAATTCATGTAGGCTAGTTTTAGTAGTAGGTTAATTTTCGGTTTTATTGAATATTTATATAAAAATACAAGTTGAAACGCGTTACTTCCTTGTGGAATGTGATGTTAGTATCTATTTTATGTTTGTCTGACGTATTTTTACACTTATTTACCGCACATTTCGTCATTTTTCGTTCGCGGTGCAAGTTGACCTTGAGCACTGACGGCCCGCCCGCTCGTGTAGGCCCATTGGGAGCTATTCAATTTGCTTCACTTAGCGTGTGCGGACTAAATTTGTATGCGTTATTATTCTAAGTTTCCAATATACACTACTATTATTTCATTTAAATTCTTACAAATTTGTGGAGGAAATAAAGAATTTACTTACTTACTTACTTTTAAAAATAAAATATTGTCTCCAGGAAGCAAAATATCCTAGCTACAATAATTAAAGTACATTTTCTTCGTGTCGCAACCGATTCTGTGTATATACCATAATACTAAATTGTGTATTAAGTAAATAAGAAATTACTGACGATTTAACGACTCGATGTTTGTAGTTTTTACCGCCCGTGCTACATACAATGTTTTTCATCACATTTGCGAGGAAATAGGTACAACAATAATTAATTTTTTGTATGAATAAATATCGCTTCACAACACAATAGATAAGGATTTGCAAATGGCGAGTATTATGTTTTTTTTAAATAGATTCATATTCTTCCATAGATATTACAACACGAACTAAAATGATTAAAAAGGCACAGACGTATGCAACCATTGTGTATTAATATAATATAAATTATTTCCAAAGTATTAAAATACTTTAGAATTTTACTTAATACACAAAATAAATTTAGTAAAATATTGTTAAATTGCAAATATTTAGTTTTTTTTATACTTCAAGTTTATGCTAAATAGGTACGTTCAGATTTTTCGAGCATTGAAAACTTTTTGCCTAATCTTGACGTAAAAAATCCATAGGGTGATAATGTAATGAAAAAGCCCGTGGGCGTAATTTAGGACATTACGTCCGACTTTGCCTGCACGTTATGACTTTTCTTAACTGCATTGTTTACGAGTGTGGTTTGTGAGTGTGAAGTATGATGAAAAACATTACACAGCAAAAAGTGGACGGCAGGCGCGTCTACGACGACTATAACGATGAGTTGTTTCGACCAATTTTAAAGAAACATGGGGATCACATCGTGTAGTAGTGTCCATTTTGCGTGACGTGGGTATAAAAACTACTACTGCCACCTTAAGTTCCTCTAAGAATCTTAGCGTCTTATTGAAGTTACTGAAAACATCGGGGATCGACTTCGGTACTTCAAGCCAGACATATCTGAGAATAAGAGAAAAATAAATATATTACTTCATCTCGTTTCAATACCGACACTACCCGCTACGTCTCCTAATACCGTCCATTTTAGACGGGGCTGTACTCTAAAACCCTTTAATAGGATTTTGATCTTCCACCGACGGACACCAGGCTTCATATTGAATTATACTCCGCACTTTGAGGGTAGGCTATTCAATTTTAAAAACCTATCTGGTCCAGCCACTCGACTACCACATTGAATAACGTCAGTCGGAACTTGGTAATAATGTTTTAAGGAATTATGACGACATATATTGATCGTGTAGTGTTAGGTTGCAATCATGACCAGGTCGTATTTTGTATAGGTACTATATTGTACATTGTATCATACTCGAACAAATATGGTTATTGAAATGCATCACTTTTACAAACTGTTACATAGAATATGTTATACCTTTTCACAATAAATTCAAGTATTATAGTTAGAGTTGTTATTGTTGAGATTTGTTTTTAAGTAGAATTTTAACGGCTTTGGCATAATGCCGTACAGCCTATTTTTAATTTTCTTTTCTTCTTTTTCGTTTCACTTTGTAAATAGTTTCAATCTTCATATAACTTCAAAAGTGAATATGACGTAACTGTAAATAACTTCATAACATTTTACGTTTTCTAGTAGAGATGGCAGGAGGCGGGGAATGTCTTCATCTTCATAAATCTTCATTAGGCCATCTACTAGCAGTAACCTTTTGTGGTGAAACTTCATGGTTTATTGTCAGTGTCAACATTGTTGAAAATGCGCGTGTAATTTTTAATTCAGTAAAGCCCATTTACTTATTTCAAGGCGCTCTCTCATTTCAATTTACTGAATAAAAAATTGAGAATGAACGAAATGTATAAATATTTAAAACCCGATCGATTAGAAATTGATTCGACGTCGAATGTTTCATATCAACAACAATGGCTGCATTGGAGAAAAACATTTGAAAATTTTCTTCAGGAATCAAGACCAACTACGGAAAGTGGACAAATGGATCACTCAGACAGTGTAAAGCTTAAACTTCTGATCAATTATGTATCACTGACAATTTATAAAATGATAGCTTCTTGTAAAACCTATTTGTGCGCTATTTCAACGCTAGAAAGTATCTACGTGAAACCAAAAAGTATTATTTTCGCGAGACACAAACTGACTACTCGTACACAACAACTTGATGAGTCTATAGATCAATACGTACAAGATTTAAAACTCTTAGCCAAAGACTGTGATTTCAAAGCCGTCACTGCTCAAGAGAATGAGAGTGACTCGATTCGTGGAGCATTCATAGCTGGTTTAAGATCACCGCAAATACGTCAGCGACTATTGGAAAACCTAACATTAACTCTGGATGAAGCTCGGAACAAAGCGCGCGCTTTAGAGTTTGCAGAGATTCAATCTGTAAGTTTTAATACTCCGTCTCATGCTGATGCTTCATCTCATGTTGCTGTTGTTAGCAATAGCGTCAATAAAAATAAAGTCCAACTATATACACGAGATAATCTAGTTGAGAAATGTTAATACTGCGGAAATCTTAGACATCAACGTCGGTTTTGCCCTGCCGCTAACAGTACGTGTTTAAAGTGTGGGAAACGCGGGCACTTCGCTAAATCATGTCGGAGTCAAACTTTAGCATCTATTGCAAATGCAGAAGAGGGAGATTCGATCTCGTCTAGTTTATTTGTAGCTACAGTTGGCTTGAATAGATGTGTAATCCCAATAAAGCTAAATGGGATAAATGTCAAAGCCCTAATCGACACTGGGAGTACAGCTAGTTTTGTTGACGAAAAAGTTGTACAAAGGTACAATATTCCAACACCTTCATGGAAACAAAACGTATCAATGGCTTCTCAAGTACTAAAATCTCAGATAACATCCGCCTGTTATGCACCTATACAGTTAAATGGAAGTGTATATCCAAATACGCTACTTCGCGTCATGGAGAATCTATGTTCTGATGTTATAATAGGACACGACATCATGGCGCAATGCTCATCATTAGAGATTAAATTTGATGGACCCAAACCCTTTTTGACTATATCTGCATTAAAAGAAGCGAATATAGAACCAGTAAACCTCTTTCCACACCTAAGCCCTAATTGTACACCTATAGCTGTAAAATCAAGAAGGCATGCCAGTGATAATTTAGTGTTCATAGAATCCGAAATTCATAGTCTCCTCTCTGAAGGAATAATAGAAGAAAGTACTTCACCATGGCGGGCCCAAACTCTGGTAACCTTTGGAACACACCAAAAGAAGCGTATGTGTATAGATTATTCGCAAACAATCAATAAATTCACATACCTAGATGCATACCCTCTCCCTAATATGGAAGATGTCGTAGCTAAGGTCGCGAAATGGAAAGTATTTTCAAAAATTGACTTAAAATCAGCTTATCACCAAATACCAATCCTGGACTCAAACAAGCAGTTCACCGCCTTCGAAGCTTGCGGGAATCTCTATCAGTTTACTCGTATACCTTTCGGCGTCACAAACGGAGTAGCGTGTTTTCAAAGGTCAATCGATACTATAATCAGAAAGACTAATCTAAGCGGAGTGTATCCATATTTAGATGATATCACTATATGCGGTATGGATGAAGCTGATCACCATGAGAGACTTAAGAAACTTTTGGAGGTTGCTGATCATTATTCGATTACAATAAACAAAAAAAAAAATGTGAATTTTCCACTCGAGAGATAAATATTCTTGGCTATAGAATAGCAAACGGTATAGTTAAGCCGGATCCTCAAAGATTAAGTGCTCTACTTGATATGCCGGTCCCTAAAGATTCACCATC